TCATATTTTATTACTGCTACTGTAGTGGTTTTAAATTACAGTTATGTTTGCTTGCTTTTAACATTAAATATCAGACATGATATCTGATAGATGCTTATTTGTGCTTACATCTCTAATTCGACCACTTCCGGCCTTGTTGAAAGGATATTGTGGAGACAGGAAGGACGATGGAAACACTACTTTCTCTACTGAGTGAATGTAATCCTAAGATGGTTAAAGTTGTAAGGTAGGCACCCTCAGATGCTGTTTATAGTGCATGAGACTGAATTACAGACCTCCACAGTAACTGGCTGGTATGTCTTCAGAGAGACAAAATGCATCTAACTAACGGGTACTCTCCTTTAGGACTGTATTAGAGATGTGATGTGACGGAAGGATGGAGCAGCTTAAGAGTTAATCTGCAGTTCTATTAACTGCACTGTGGAGGCAGAGGCCATTTCTCTGATGTATTCCTGATAGCAGGTTAAAACAGGAAAAGTGCTCAGCCGATACAGTTCCCCTCTGTTTGCACCACTTACAGTAGTTTGGGAGGGACATCTCTGTGGCTTTGATGTGTGCCGTGTAATAGTCTCCTATCAGTTTTTTGTCATACCCATTTAAATAGAATTATAGACTTTTAAGGGGTAGTTTACCACAGGAAAAAATAAAACTCCTCCCACTTGAGTGTGATTTCGAACCATGTGATTATTTTCTGTTCCCCCTGAGGTTTTGCAATATCTACCACTGAAATGTCTTTCGAGCACACTGCAGCTGAACAGACACTTTTACAATCCACAAGCGTCTATTTTTTTCAGTTAGAATTGTCATTTTCTAGAATCTACCACAGTAAAAAATTTATTTTGTGAAATAGGATTCCCCAGTTTTGTCTGTACATGGGTCCATAAGCTAAAAAAAAAAAAAAGTTTAATCTTGGACTGCGTGGATGTAACAGGGCAGTGAAAGATGTAAAACGTGACCTGAACAGTCTTTGTTTTGATGACAGCTTTTTGTCTTTGACTTCCTCATAAAGCTTTCCGCATTTATCATTCTAGTCTCCTGGTGAAGAGGACCCCAAGAAGTTCAGGATATAGACCAGACTGTGAGAACCTCTTATTTTTCTTCTACATTCTCTGTGTAGTGACGAATGGTATGGCTCAATTTGTGACTTTCAGTCATTTGCGACTCTTCGAAGACCCAGTGAAAATTTTAATAAAGCAGGATTATAATTAATCTCAGGGAAATCTACTCTAAATGTAGCCGAGCCTGGCACTTATGTACTAATGCAAGCCTTATAACCCCCTGCTCACACCATCTATGATTATGTAATGCTTTTAGGTTTGAGTTGGGTAATCTCTTTAAGATCGTCCCTCAAGGACAGCTGTTACTGTAAGTGTTTTGACTTTCCGCTGAGACCATAAAAGAGCAGTGACTGCTTGTTTATGTCAGAGCCAGTTTGTTGCTTGTTTTCTTCCAGTGGTCTTAAAAGTAGCTTCTGGTTTCTCTTATTTATAACCCCTTGTATCAGTGATATTACATAGGGAGATTTCCTCTTCTCACAGCTCCTAATGCTCCTATCACTGCAGCCACTTTAGACTTTACCTTTCCCATCTGCTCCAGTTGTTTCTTCTGCCCTTGCTAGTTCTCTATTTTTTGTGTTTCTTCTTAGTTGCTGTCGGCTGAGATCCCCACATCTATCACAGATGCACTTTGTTAACCACCACTATGTCTGGTTGGTTAGTCAGCAGCTGCTTGTCTGTCTAGAAGTCAAGCTCTGATAGGACCTTGTTGTTATACTGCTATGATCAGAACTCTCCTCTAAGCCATCCTTTTCTATCCACTGGTAGTATTTCTTAATGCCAGCTCCTTCCTCTATCCGTTGATGGTACATTCCAGGAACAGATTCCCATAGGGGTTTGGTCATCCATGATAGTTCCTCGTCCTGTTCCCCAAGTATCCTCAGTTGTCTGAGGTATTCTTGGCACTCACTAATCCTCTCCGTTCCTTTTTTCTGTTGCTCATAAACCCTCAGGGTGCTAGACTTCAGGTAGAGAGCTCCGTGCATTGTGAGGAGTTTTGGTGTCTTGACATGAGTGCCATCTCTCTCCTCCTGTGGTCAGCTTATTATTCAAACTGGGTATCTGATGATCGATAGGGCACAGACATTGATGGCTTGGATCTTATTCCTTCTGTTCAGCTAGCTTCTTAGAACCTACAATACCTTTTGGAGGTATATGGCTGTGGCTGATCTTTGTGCGACTTTGTCATGGTTCTCGTTGGCCTGTGGGATATACAGGTACTTATAGTTGTTCTATATATCTGCTATTTTATCTTCTGGCAACTGCACCCCTTCATATCCATTGTATCAGCTCTTAATGATGAGCTGGCTTAGAGGGTTGAGGCCTATGCAGAACAGCAGCGGGGACACTTTGGTATATTCTGCATTTGATGGCAACTTAAGTGATTGCCTTCGATTTTGTTTCCTGTGTTGTGTTCCACAGACCCACTGACTTCCTGATGAAGGTTATTAGTATACTATTAGCTTTGTACCGTGCCAACCACTCCAGTATCCATGTGATTTTACTTATATAATATAAATACATATTATAATGTTTGTTTGTTTGTTTGTTTGTTTTCCCCCAGACATCGGTTTTGAGGTACCGGATGCCTTTCTGGTTGGCTATGCTTTGGATTACAACGAGTACTTCAGAGATCTCAGTGTAAGTGTTTTTTGGAAGTTGATTACTCAAGGTCTCCTATTATAAAGGTGATTTTTAACACAGATTTAGCTGGTTTGGATCACTGCAACATTCACTGGAGATAGCTGTGGTTCTAATAATCGCTGGCAAGCTGGTATAATACTGGACCCTGATTTGCCCCCATGCATCCATTGGCATGCAAGTTTGTGAATGTGTGTGATAGGGTGAATGGTGCGTGTAGTTAAAAAGTGCTTTGAGTGCTCAGAGTAGAAAACCAAAGTGCACAAGTGCCAAACCATTCTATTTACAGAGGTGTGGAAAATGTTAGATGTTTTTACATGCTCACAAGAACAAGTGCACCTGAGATACTGAATGAGTAATTGGCTTGATATTTCACAAATTATCTGTCTGCCCTAAGATGAAATTATTTTAGATATTATTGCTTTTACATGGTTGTTTTGAGGACCCATCTAATATGAATTATCAGGATTTATCCTGCATTAAAAACTGATTTTGACCTTCACTGAAAGGAAAAAAAAATTTTTTTCTCTAAATGGTCTAAGTGGGATTACATTTTCTTTAGCTTAGTTTGAGTGCACTAGTTGTGCCATAACAATATGTGGACCAGTTATGCTTACATACATAGTCACCCACCAGAGTCCCAATTTTAACCTAATCATGACATTATTTAGGCAGACTGTTGATGTTAATTTTAGTCACTTTATCCTCAAATCTTCAAAGTGGAAAAGTATATTTATAGTGTTTTGTATAGTTACAGGATTGGGCAACAAATGATTTTTTTTTTTTTTTTTTTTTTTTTAATATGGTTGTGTAGTGTTGTATTAAAATGTTAAGGTATTTCTGAAAATAACTTGGCCTTAAATATTTGCTGCAGTAGGAATAAAAGAGGTGTAAAAAAAAAAAAAAGGCAACTGCAGTTTCAGGGTCCTGATGTTCTGCCTGCTTACGCACCATGAGGCTGCCATGTTTGGTGTCACTGGTTTTTAGTGAAACCAGTGTTATAATATTCAGCATTTCTGTTGATGTTTTTTCCTCTTCTTTTCCTCAGCACATCTGTATACTGAATGACCAAGCAAAGGAGAAGTACAAAGTGTGAGCAGATGAAGTGCTGCAGAGGCCGATGTCTGAATCGCTGAAGACTTGGACCACTGTGACGAGCCTCGTTAGCTTTGCTGTGTTTTGAAACGTATTTATTTTTCTATATGCGAATCCACAAAAAGTGACTTGTGGGTTGTAACTAACTTTAAGAACATTTCTTTCCCCCCTTATAAGTGGGATTAATTCTGTATATTATCAATATTTTGGTTGTCAATTTATTGAATTTATGTTAAGACTGAAGGTGTAAATAACAGTTTTGAATAGAAGTGGAGATAAAAAAAAAATGTAATTAATTTGCTCTTATGGAAGTACACACATCTCAGGCTACTGCTTTATTTTCAGTGAGCTGTCAGATTATTTGTAGCCTTCGAATGTTTGAATGTTTCAGTTTGGATTTATACTGAAGACATATCCTCTCATTATGCCATAAAATGACTTGTCATGTACTGTATGTTTTGATTCATGTCCAATGTTTTCACCAAGGATCTCTTTACAGCAATACAAATCCCAGTGAAACCTCGAGTCTGTTTTCTATTTTCCCAGAAGAGGGAGTAACACTGCATTTATGCATGTTTTTACAAAAGTAATAGGCCTACTTTAAACTAATTACCAAAACACACTTGACTGTGGTACTATGTGAAATAGGAGTGGCAAGAAAAAAGGATGTGAGGGGGGGTGTAGGACATGTTTCAGGGCAGCAAGACTGTGGTTAAGAATGACAAGTACAGTTGGGATTGTATCAGGAAGGAGGCTGAGCTGGAGGTAACCAGGATATACAGGATTAGCAAATGAGTACATCAGATGGACAGGTTGGAGAGACGAGGCTGAGATGGTTTGGATGTGTGCAGATGATAGATCGCGGATATACTGGAGAAAGGATGTTGAAGATTGAGTAAAAGAGGAAGGAGTATGTACAGTGGGTTAGTGAGACAGAGGAGAAAGCTACGGATAGGGTGATGTGGAGGTAAATGATACACTATGGCGACCTCTAAAGGAGGCAGCAGAGAGGAGACTAACGCGACAAAAATACCCTCTCTCGAGTTTCTTCGCAGTCATGATAATCTCCGTGATCCTATTAGAGAATGTTTTAAATTATCAAACACTCTCAAAATACACTTGTACTCTTTTTGAGGCTCAAGCATCAACACCAAATGCTTTAGCTAATTGAATAACGTGTCTAAAGCGGAAGTTGTCGCAATTCGACATCACATCCGTTTCTGGTGTTAGCTTAAACTCGGGCAGGAAGTAGCTGTCAAAGAAGGGCGAATGGTATTGGGAAAGTTTACCATTATATACACATTAGCTTTCCTACAACGCAGGTGTTTTCTGAACTACCATGGACTGATTAGACTTAGCTCTGCTGCTAACGTTAGTTTCACTGTAAGCATAACAGTATTGTTTTTAGCTGTCAACGTTTGTTTTCCAAGATTTTGTGTTTATTTAATAATAAGTCGTACCAGATTGTTCAAGACTTGGACTTTAACCAGGTCACTCACTATCATGCACGTTAAAGAAGAGATTATAGGCATTTTAAAGCAGTTTGACATAGGAGATAAGTTTTCCTATCTGCCATTGCTGCCCAGAGCTTCTGTGCTGATCCCGCTGTTCGTGAGGAGTGGGCGGCTGTACACCTTGCTGACGCTGCGTTCAAAAGAGGTAACTTGAGTGGGTAAATGCGGTTTCTTCTCACTTCTCTATCTGGGGTTCGCCACAGCATTTCATCTACCTTTATCTGACCGCTATCCCCAGCTTCCTTTTCTGTCACACCAACTCCGTGCATGTCCTCAACATCCTTCTCCAATGCAGGCACCCTCTCTTCTCTGCACTTCCAAACCGTCCCAGCCTTGCCTCTAACCCGAACTATCCCTATGATGTACTCATTCCTAATCCTGTCCATCCCACTAACTTCCCCCAAAATGTCAAAAAGTCATCTCCAAAACATACATAAATGCATATAGGTCGATTCACTAACATCTTACCAACTTTCAGTCTTGCTACTGTCTTTCCACGGGCAGTATTGTGGCAAGCACGGTTTCCTCACAGCAAGGTGGTCCAGGGCCTGAACCCACCATCTGGCTGGGGTCTTTATGTCTGACGTTTTGCATGGCTACTTCCCATAGACGGCAGTTAGTGGGGTTACGTTAATGGATGATTCTAAATGGCTGATAGGTGTGAAGGTGAATGCATATGATTGTGTCTGTGTAGCCCTGTAACAGACCTGTCCAAGATGTACCCTTCCTGTCACCCTGTAGCAGCTGAGATAACACTGAGATGGATGCTATCTCTCAGTCACTGTCTTCATCTATCCTGTAAATCCATCTTATTTATGTTTCTTTCTTTGTAGCTGAGGACCAGTGCTGGTGAGGTGTGTTTCCCAGGTGGAAAGAGAGACCCCAGTGACCATGACGATGTGGACACAGCTCTGAGAGAAGCGGAGGAGGAGATAGGTCTATCACCTGATGACGTTCAGGTGGTCTGTACGCTGTTTCCAATCATTAATAAGGTAGAATAAAACATGATTTTCTTTAAGAGTATTGACTGACTTGAGTCTTATTCATTTTCTCAAATCACCCCCTCCTAATTGTCATTCTTTGTCAACAGACCGGTCTGTTGGTGACCCCAGTTGTTGGCTTCATAGAGGAGTCATTTTGTCCCAGTCCAAACCCAGCTGAGGTCAGTGCTGTGTTCACAGTCCCATTGGACTTCTTCACCAGCAAGGAGGACCACCACTCTACATATGGTGTCGTTGGGATGTCGGGGCTGCTGCACTCATTTTATTTTGTGGACACTGATTTGGGAAGCCAATATCACATATGGGGATTGACTGCCTTGCTGGCCATCCTGGTTGCTGTCCTTGCTCTTAAAAAGAAACCCGAGTTTGAAGTTGGCTTTGACTCTGAGGACCCACTAGCATTCTTCCAACAGATCCTACACAGAAGAATCAGTAAACTATGAACAGATTTTCCCCAATACCTGAAGCCCCATTGAATTTACTGTATAATTTCTATGAATGTGTGTAATAATTGTTTGAAAGGATGTATATAAACTTTTCAGTGTGGTGAAAAGATGCAAATAAAAAGATATTTTCAGTTTTTCAAAATTCATTTAATGTAGCAGCAGGATTACAGATATAAACAAAGAGTATACAAATGTCCAGACAAAGGCAAAATTACATGTTAATAATAGTTCAGATGTATGATAACACACCAGGTTTGACCTTTATCCCTACTGCAGGGTCGTAAGGCTAGATACTAAAGCTCAAGCTACACAGAACGGATACAACAGAACTGTTGGAGAATGTGAAATAGAAGCGAACTAGGAAAAGTGAGCAAACTGATTACACACAAGATACAGCTCACACTATTGGCAATTTAATTTATCATGGTTGCCCCTTTTGATCAAGCGTTTCACAGCAACAATAGTAATGTTGACAAGCACATCAACACAAAGTTCTCGCTAAAAACAATCTCCACTGTCTCGTCCCTTTTACCTCACATGTACAAATCTCATGAGGCATGAAAAGCATTTTCAATAGAAAACAACAAGGTGACAATTCACTGGTGAAGCTGCACAATATTATGTTGATATCTTGCAATGGATTGAGAACATGTTAAAGTATAACAGTTACGGTTATGTCCGTGTCAGGGGGAGGAGAGAGTAACGGAAAAGCTTTCGGATGTTAAACAGTCTTAGAGAATAAAAAGGAGCAATGAGACAAAAGGGACACCAGTAAACACAGCAGAGCAACGTTTAAGTTATCAAGGCACACAAAGTTCTGTTGAAAGCGTCACAATTGAAATTCAAAATACCCCTGCAGTATATTTCACATTTAAATATACATGGATATTCATTTACATGACTGAAGGACAAAAATATTATGCAAAGATTTGTGTGCTCTTTTCAACGCCTTTAAATCAACAGTTTTTTTTTTTTTTTTTTTTCCTCCCCCCCGGTGAAGTGGCTATTCGACAAAGTCGGACTGAAATGAATAATAATAATAAAACTAATGGTCGGTTTTGAAATTACACCACAATCAAAAACAATTTGACCAATGTGCAGTGACACAAATGACAGCTGGTGTCGCCCTGCCCATCCCCTTCCCTCCGCCTCAAAATATATCTTCTCTAAGCCTAGTATTGGTCCGATGTCAGATGTAGAGCAAGCTCCATTCCACACACCATGAGGTAAAATTTACATTCATGAAACCGAAGTCACGGGTTGGCTTTCTGTGTTGGTATGGCTTTAAGAGGCATTACTGTTCCGCACTTCTTCCACAACATCATGTGCTCTTTAGCTCCCCTAACTGAGAGGGATGGAATGCTTGGAAACATCACTACTGCACTCTAACTTGATCTACAGTTAATGGACGAGTCAAAGTGCCATTTGAGATGCATGATGTTAAAAACAAAAACAAAAGAGGAGTTTAAAATACAAAACGCCCACACAAAACACACAGAGCACAAAAAAGAGGAGTAAACTTCACGTTATGTTCTACAGTTTGCGTAAAGTCGATATCATGACAGTAGATTTAAGTCTAACATAATCGCTTGATGTCCACTTACATTTCTAGTTTCAGTCATAGACTTAATAAACCTGCGCTTCATTTCAGGGGAAAAACCAACAAAACACTAGCAATGATAGTTCTTTGCTATGAGCAAAAAAGAAAAAAAGTTTAGTTTTACAAAAATACTCTACATTTTGATACATGGATTACAAAATTCTAAAAAAGATAAGTTACTTTTAAAATGGATCACTAACAGCTGCAAAGATAAAAGAGTATGACCATGAAAATGTAAACAATGCATGTGAGCAATGCGATACTAATGTCTGAAGTCTCCAAGAAAAAAAAACACATGTCCTTTTTTGGGGGGGGATAATGCCAAATTGGCTAATATTAGATTTGGAAAGTTCAACAATGTCAACTCTTCATTGAAAAATAGAGTGATGTATCAAATTGGTGGAAATGTTAATGAGATAAACTGATCCATGAAGCAAAGTACCTTCGCAAAACTATCAGAAATCTTGTAAAAGCGCAAAACAAAACAACCCCCCCAGCATGCTGAATTGTTAGCCATGTGAGAGCTGCATTATGTGAACAAACAAATGCAAATGAGTAAACGTTACGATGGCGAGGACAAAATGGCGACCATTCACAATCAGGAGCTTTGGTATGCCTGGGTGGGTTGCACTCCAGTCTGATCCCTCAACAACAGCCAGCACTGTAGACTCGATTTTTCTTCCAAACTAAAAACGAATGCAAGTGCTATTGATAGTACAAACTGTACTAACATGACGACAGAAGTGTCCATTACTCCTCTACATAGCACCAAGGATGGAATCAAAAATGGCAACCTCTATGTAACAGATTTCATCTACCAGTGAGCCCCTGTTCACAACACAAAGAACAGGAGCCAGCTTCATGCGGCGCCAACCTGCACGGGCTACAAACAGAAACAGAAACTTAATATCGAAACACAACACGAACAACAGTAAAAACATTCCAACGAGAAAAACCGAGACTTAGTACAAAAGAAAAAAAACAAAACAATGAAGATCCTTCATGTAAATGTACAAACTAAATGAATCAGTATTTCAGATGTGTTGTCAGTGTCTAAAACACAAAAGGCCTAGTTACCACTCAAACACTGACAAGTGACAATGCCGTTTGTAGGAATGGCTGTTTTTGGATAGACTTGACTGGACCACTGGGACTGAATACAAAGAGGGACTCAACAGTGAGCAGACGTTCTATACAAAGTTGTCTAGACCTCAAAAATACTCTGACATGAGAGAAAATGTAAAAATGATGTATCTATTTGTACAAAGATGACTGCTTTCAGCTTTTCCCCCCTCCTCTTCTTCTTCTTTTTTTTTTTAACCCCACCCACTGGACGTTTCAGAGTACAAATTCATCTTAGATCAGTAGAGAGCTGTGGATGGATATAAGGAGTAGCAGGTTACACAAAAGAGGTTATAAAGTGCTTTAGATAAAATGTTTATAAAACCACACAACACTCCATTTTCACTAGTGGAAAGGTTTTTTTTTCTATCCACATTTAACTGATAAAGAGTTAACTTTTTCAAAAGCAACAAAAGGAGAAAAAAAACAAAACACACCCTAAATAGTTGAATGCTATTTAAAATTTCACCAAGAAAGGCCTGCACATAAGAGAACACTGGGAAGTGCCAACAAAGGCCACGTCACATGGATGAATCTCATTTATGAGTGTGCAATATTCCCTCAACTCACCAGGGTGCTTTCAGTAACACAATGTCTTTACCGGACTTTTTGTGATAAAAATTCATTTCATACTTGTGGTGCCGACACTAATATTAAACTGTGCTGCCTCTAATAACAAACCGCTTGAGTGCAGACTCCACCCATGCCAGTAAATGTTATTAAAAGAAAACATGAAACATTATCCTACAAAGAACTGTACAGTCTTATATTCTGTACTCTTGGAGCAAATTTAATGGCATTTTTGACATATGCAAATGTAAGCTGTGTATTAACAGCATGATTGTTCATATTCTCCACAGCAAAAGAAGTTTAAATCGAATTACTGTGACGTGATTTTATCCCTGTTTTTACATCAGCTAATCTCCCAAACTGACAAAATAAAAAAAATAAAAAATAAAAACACCCACTGTCTCAAAGTGAAATGAAATCTTGGGGAGTTTACACACTCAAAATGAGATTCTGCCTTTATCTGACAGTTATGTGCAATCTGATATTCCATAACTGACTGTTTTTTATTTTTAAATCTGCTTTCACAACACTCTCCCATCACGGCACCATTCCTCTGTCACCGTTCCTCTGTTGCTGACATTCTTTATCCCTTTCCTGTTTTTTCCCACAAATATTTTTATCCTCATCATCATAATCATTACCACCACCGTCATCATCTCTTAGGCTCACATTATTTTAAAAAGAAACAGGAAAAAAAAACAACAACTGGCAACAAAACACTGCATTTGTGCGGCTGGATAAAGCAGTTATTACAGGCCTCTCTGATCCTGCAAGAGGAGTAATAACAAAGGTGGGTTCATTAATTCAAGAACAATGGATAAATGGAGGCTACAGTTAATGATAAATATTTCTTAAAAACAGGTCACATGAACTCATGATTTGGGTTTTCAGTAAAAAGGGCAAGTAATTCTTAAATATTTAAATGACTTTTTTTTAAGCATTGGCACAAACCCCTACACACGGCTATTTTTAGGGTGTATAACTCTGAGCTACATACACATCACTCACCCCCTAAGTGCTGACAATGGTCCAAACAATAATCACTGCTTCTGTAGGCTTTCCAGTAGGTCCTCAATTTTATCCATGCTGGACGATGTTGATATGGATGCCTGCAGTTGATTCTGTAAGCTGCTCTGTATCTGTGTCTGTAGACTGGTCTGCATTGGTGTTGGTAGACTCGCTTCTATGTTTCCTTGTAAACTGGACTGAAGGGCTGTTTGTGTGTTTGCCTGCATTGCGTTCTCCAAGGTGGTCTGCATTTGTGCCTGAAGGGTGTTCTGCAAGCTGCCATGCATGGTAGCTGGGATTGGGGAGGCAGCCTGGGCCATGGGCTGATCCAGCAGAGTCTGCATGTGACCGGAGTTCGGGATTTGGTTCTGCGCAGGTTGGCTGGGTCCAGAAGAAGTGAGCAGCTGGGATGAGTCTAAAAGAAAAAGAAAATAATTTTATCCATCATTAAACAGTAAATGTAGCATATAACTGTAGCAATGGAGTAACACAAAAAGCATATGGATTAGAGCTGTGCCTGACTAGATGACCAATTATCACTACTGTCACTAGTGGGTATCAGACATACTAGCCGTTTAATCTAATTCTTTCAAATTTTAATTGATGCCAAATGCCGGTATATTGTGTCCTGGATGCTATGCAGCCATCTATCACCAGATGGAGCAATGTTGTTGACAAATGCCATAAATCTGTTAATCAGGCTTGATTTTTTTTGTTAAGACTATTAGGGTTAGGTCTTTTAAAGGCGAAAGAATGAGTTTGCGGATACGAGCGGTACCCTTCCTCTGAAGGGTGGATGGACTCTCCCTGAGTGATAGGGTGAGGAGTTCAGTCA